CTTCAAATTCATAGATAATGTGCCTTTAGTATAGTACTAAAAAATGTGCCTTTAGTATATTAAGCATTAGTTTAACCTCTTGTTTTGATTTACGAAAAAGTCCACAACCACTAACCGAAGAAGCGCAACCATTCAAAATTGAAGTAGATTTGAAATAATTTTCTATCAAATATTATAATCAAACTTTAACTAAGTCTATTAAAATTTATTACTTTCTTTAATATTAAAAATTATAACTTTAAATTTTACAAATTATTTAGTGTTATATATCTCGTATTATGCCAACATTTAATATGGTGATACCTCTGTTACCATTCCAAATGGGTGGTCACGAGATCAAATTCCGGTAGTGGAGACAATTGATTTTTTGTGCTGAAAATAAAAAAGTTTTAGAAAATATAGAACAAATACTACCTTGTAAAGATTAAAGAATCATGAGTGTTATAAAAAAATATAAAATCTCAAATTATTTTCTCTAATCTATTTCGATATAATCACTATATTAATGTTAGGCAAATACATTGCCCACTTATTTTTATTTTACTGCAACACGCATATCATTGCTAGTATATTAATAGAGTGATAGTTTTGTAATGCATATATCTTTGCAGGTCTTAGCTCGTTTGATAAACACAAAGACAAAGAATAGAGATGTACGAAAATAGCAGAAGAAGTTTCTTATTCAACAACTTTCATTTGTACATGAATACACAAATATATAGGATACAAAATACTCGATCTTTACAATAATCAACTGTTACAAGAATAAATCATAATAATGTCCATTAATAATATATTTGTAACAATTCCTCTTGGACATTATTTTGTCACAATCATGCATCGTTAAAAACTCGCTAGAAAAACCTAGTCAAGAAAAAAGTACATGATATTTGGATAATCATGTGTTGCATTAGTTGCCTCATTAAAAATCATACACTAAGAAAAATTCAATGGAAAAACGAACTTAGTTAAGGGAAAAAAAGTACAACTATAAACCTTCTAGGTTCAATCTTCAGGATTGCAAGAGTTGTCGGTCTTCTGGACCGATAATTCATGTGCACCGAGATGTCATTTCTCCCCCTGAAGACAACAACTTTCCTAACCTACGCATACCAATTTTATGAACATATTTCTCAAAGGTAGATGTAGATAAGGACTTTGTGAATAAATCTGCTAGATTTTCACATGATTAAATCTTTTGGACTTGTATTCCACCACTCTTCTGGAACTCATGTGGGCAATAGAATTTTGGTGCAATATATTTGGTCTGTATAGATCATGTATAGAAATCGTATGTGCATTGTATAAAAGATGATGATGAATTGATCCGAATAGAGTCAAAATAGCCAAAATAGCATAAGTAAAGCCTTTAATTGAGTTTGTAGAGAGTGTTTAGAGAGAACCACACACTTTTGAGAGAGAGGCGAGAAGAGAGTGCCCCCCTCTAAAGAAGGGCTAGGACGACCCTTTATATACTATACGCACAAGCATTGACGGGTTTGACTTTGACATTGACTCGAACCGTTTGACTCCGATCTGATTATAAAACGATAACACGAATGTATATGGAGATTCAAAATCGGAGAATATTCCCTATCAAGTAGTCCCTCAATCCATGTGTAGCACTCCCTTTTTTAAAACTCTAGAGTCCAAAATAAAGCATTCTAAATAGGATTAAACAAGGGAAGAATTAAATAAACTAGGATATAAAATCCAAATCAATAACTGAAGGGAATGTCACCGTCATAGTTACCCACTCTCGAGTAACTGCACAGGCTAAAAACTACTACCAACTGGAGTTACTGCTCAACATAATAACAAAAAGGGAAACAATCCCTAGTGTCTACGCTGTAACACCCTGTGTTACGGCATTCAAACCCGGGATTAATTGATTGAATTAATGCCGTTAATAATAATTAAAAAGGATTTAATTTGGATAGAGCCTCTAAATTAATGTGGTCCACCATGGATCGTGGATACTCGTCTAAACTAGGATCTAAAGCTTGTCAGGAATAAAGAAAGTGGGCCTTTACCGTTCAGATTCGAATTAGGATTTCGTTAATTCTATAAATAGGGTATTAGGAAGCATTTAGAATCCTCCTTCCCTCTCATATTTAAGGTCTTTAATATAGTAAATGCCTACTTTCTTTATTCCTAACATATTTAAGGTCTTTAATATAGACAAGGGTCCACGATCCATTATGGACCACATTAATTAATTAAGGGGATTCTAACTAAATTAAATTCTTTTTAACTATTCTTTAGCACGATTAATTACATAATTAATCAGGGCTTGAAGGTCGTAACACCGAGTGTTACACACAGATCACCTTGATTTGCTTGTTAAAGGCATGGATCAAGTTATAAGTGCTGCGATGCCATGTCAGAGCTATATGCGCTAACCCCTTGGTAGTAGTGCTAGAGGCACAGATCATGCGAATGGTACTGAGGAGCTATCTAATTTGTTGGTGGTTTTGTTGGTGGTATGTCGGTGGGGAGCCATGAAGTGCTCTGGAGGGATAAGGGAGACAATATAAGGGTGGCATGGAGGTATAGGTTGGAATTGATATAAGGATGGAGAGGAGTAAAGGTTGGAACTTGGTATATGGTTAGAACATGGACAAGTTGTTGTTGTTGATTGTTATGTTGTTCTATTGTTGTTATTGCTTATTACTATTGAGCCTTGCTATCGTCTTGTCTTGTGTTCTTAGGATGCATGCTAGTCTTTACACCACATTATTTTCAGGTACTGACAAGTAGCTTCAGCGCGCGCTAGTTGGATCTGTGGACTTAGATAGTTTTAGCTTTGATTAGATGGCCTGCGTGCCTTGGTTTGTATTTCGATATTATTTGTGGTTTATGCCTTGTTTAGTTAGTTTAGTCTGTGCATCTAAGTTCTCTAGCTTAGATGTGGCATAGCACCCCAACTCTTATGCTGAGTTTATGCTCTACTTAGGAATTAATGTCAGATTCGCCTTTATTTCGATGGTTCCATCCTTGAGGCATATAGAAGCAACACAATTACGGAAGGAAACCTAGAAGTCCACACCCTTACCCTGTGCTTTAACTTAAAATAACCCAAAGCTGAAAGAAGAACAAAGCACAAGAAGCATAACAGAAAACGATAAGAGAACTCACAATCTCACCGCGCGTCCTAAGGTTACTAAGACTTAGGTACTTAAACACTTAGGATTCGAGCTTAACTTCTTAATGTGACACCCCAAAAATCCACATTCAATCCATGGATTAATTGAGTAATTAATCCTATTTCAATTGAGGAATTAATTCCTAAAATCCTAATTTTTAATACTTGAGGACTAGTATTTGACTAGTCAACTTCAAAGTCATGTTGTACCTTGAGCTTTGAAGGGTGTTCCCTTGTTCCTTACACTTTCTAAATGTTAGTAAGGGAATTCTTGACCTTTCACCAAGTATTAGTATTGTAACCTAACCTAGAAGACATCTCCATTTCACCCCTTACACTTTTTAAAACATTAGCTCTACCTTTTCTCTAGAAAGGTGAGTGGCTTTTCCTCCAAGCTAAGTTTAGACCTTGCCAAGACTTCAAGATTTGCTTCCAAGATTCAACCTTTCACCTATTTGGGGATCTAGGAGGGTAAGATCTAAGTCCATCTTGTGTTTTTGGTTCCATCTTAGATGTCTTTTTCTTAAAAGTAGGATCTTTATGATCTTTTGGTTGTTCTTGAAGTGGGTTTGGAAAGTAAGCCTTGTGGGGAGCTTGTTGAAGTGTAAAGTGAAGTCTTTTAGTCTATAAGAGGTAACCCATGTGTAATTTTGCATATTCTCTTTTTAAGATAGATTAACAGAATTAATCAACTGTCAGAGAATACTGATTGATTCAGTTACGAAGTCAGTCAGTAATAATAAATAATGAAGAAGATGTAAGAGAGAGATAACAGCACAAAGCCAACAACACAGAATATTTACCCAGTTCGATACAATGTGTATCTACATCTGGGGGACGATCACATAGGCGTCCAATCCACTAAATCATAATCCAATGTACAAAGGTAGATATACAATAATCTTACCCAAGTGCCCCACACAAGGTACATACCCAGTCTACACAGGTTTAGTGGATTGTTGAAGATGGAGAGCCATGCATACAGAAGTCCAATGAAATCCCTTCACTTGGAGAGCGCACTCTGATACAGTCCACTTCAACGATGCTCTTTAATGTTGTTCCCACAATAGTGTGATCACAGTGTCCTTTCGTTTAAGCAGCAGTGATTCTTCTCAAGTTCATCATCTTAATCACCATGAACATATTGTATTGAGAAGATACATGACAATCAAAGATCTAAATTCATATAGCAGATGGAGAGTGTTTCTTCATATATTCGGCGTAACCCTAAATCTCTTCCAGTACGGGTACTTATAGATTCTTCAATAAACTCTCTCCATAAAAGACTTTGATTGTAGAAGGTAGGACTATAAAAGAGGAATGTAATCTCAGAAGATTAGGTCCATACCTTTCTTGAAAATATACGCTGATCTTCATTCCAAACTTGTCTGATAATACCGCGTAAGACTTTTAGAAATCAGCTTCCTAAATCAGATCTTCAGTGTCAGTCCTTCTATTGTTGCTTCTGATTGATCAGTCGTCTGTAGAGCTGGACGGACAAACTCTAAACCTATCTTAGTATGCCATAATAATATTGCCAATTATAGTATGGGGTTTTTGAACATTTAAAAACACTAACAAACTCCCCCTTTGGCTATTATTTGACAAAACAACTCGACTATATAGATAGACAAAACATAAAGATCTAAGATAGGTTATTATAAAGAAGCAACCCATGAGTCTGATCTGATTACATAGAACAAAAACAAAAACATAAGATCCAAAACAGTTTATGATCAAAAGCAAGAAATGGTGTCATAAAAAACAACGCCCAGCCAAGGCCAGAAGGTACTCAAACACAAAAACTCCCCCTGAGTTCATACTACTCCCCCTTTTTGCCAATGATAGCCAAAGGTCAAGCATTGGAGGGAGTGTCACTGTCAGACTTTGCAGGATCAGCAGCAGCAGCAGATTCTGATAGGCTTAAACGAAGTAGAACGGTTGCCAGCTCAGTACGGGCCCCTATCAGTTGCTTTGCAATAATGCTATGTACTGTCTCAATATCAGCGACCCTTTCTGTAACACCCCGTGTTACGGCCTTCAATCTCGGATTAATTATTTAATTAATCCCGTTAATAATAATTAAATATGATTTAATTCGGTTAGGTTTCCCTTTAATTAATTAATAAGGCCCACCATGAACCGTGGGCCCTTGCCTAAATTAGAGCATTAAGCCTATTAGGAATAAAGAAAGTAAACCTTTTACTATTCAGATTCTGATTAGGAATCCTAGACCTAGTTATCTATTAGGAATAAAGGAAGTAGGTGTTTTACTATTCAGATTATGATTAGGATTCTCTTTAATTAATTAATATGGTCCACTATGGACCATGGAACCCAATCCTTAGTCCCAAAAGGAATAGAATTAGCAAGCCTATAATATTAGTTCCTAATTAGGACTCCTAAATATATAAATAGGGGACTTAAGAGGCACCTAGAACCCCCCACCACAATAAACGACTCACCATCCCAAAAGAGCTCCAAGAATTCCCTTAGAAGAAATCAAGAAAGCAAGAAAGCTTAAAGAAAGACCCTTTATAGCCAAGGAATTAATTAAGGCTAAGAGGTAACCCATGTCTCAACAAAACCTATTTTCATAGTTATAATTCCCCCTTAGGGTTTCCCCATATTATTGTGTATTGGCAAGTTATGATGATCATTATTGGTAATTGATGTGATGATCCCATGGGGGATCTTGATAATCTTGATATCGGGAGATTCTTGATAATTATGGTGTTCTTGGTAATTATATGGAGTTCTTGATGATTATGCGTTGCTCTTGATAATTATGTGATGCTCTTGATGTTTATGTGTTATTCTTACCGAATCTTGCAATTAGAAGACGAACCGTATTCTTGTTGATATAAAAGTGATTAGAACCCTAGGTTGTATCGTATGATCTTATTCTTGGATTATCGGGTGGGGAAATCGCATGTTTGGGTGTTGATTATATTTAGAAAAGCATGATAGGTTATGTGTCGTTCGTTTCTCGTAATTGATCCGTTAATTGTCTACGTGTTGTCGTTAATTGCGTTGTAAAGTGTCTAAGCATGGTTTCGGGTTCCACAACGGTTCCCGGGGCGCAATTGATGAAAAAGAGTCAGTGGGGGTAGGGGACCCGCCACCTACCCGGTGCCGAGAATCACCGCCTGGCAGCGGGTGGCCGGCGGGCGGGCAGCTGCCCGCCGGCGACCCGCTGCCCGCCGGCGACCCGCTGCCCGGAACAGTAAAACCGGCGGGCAGCCGGCGGGTGGCCCCCACCCACCGGCTACCCGCTGGAAATTCATCCCACCCGGGATCCCGGCTTCCCCGTTTGATGTTCCCCGTTCCCCGTGGTGTCCTAACGGACTCCGTTTATCGTGCCTATGTCTAGTTTGATGTTTCGGGTACCGTTCGTAGGTTTATGAGTCTGTTATATTGCATGCTAGTTGAATTGGTATCCCGTTGACCTAGGTGGAAGAAGTATGAACCCCTTAGGACTATTCTTAATAAGTGATGGATCACGCATAGGTTTTGTTATACGTTTTTTCCCCCTTCCTAATGTGTAATGTGGGTTGCATGTGCTTGCTATGTGTTATGTGTGTGTTACCCCAATTCGGTTGCGATCGAATTGGTTACCCTGAGCTGCGGTTCAGAAGCTGGCTGCGGTCAGATTGATACTCTTGGGCTGCGGTCCACCGTTTGGTTGCGATCAAACGTTTCTATACGAGCTGCGGTTCGTCCTTTTTCCTGGCTGCGGTCAGATGACATTCTCTTGGGCTGCGGTCCACTGTTTGGTTGCGATCAAACACTATGATGAGCTGCGGTTCATCGGTCGGTTGCGATCGACCCCTCCGTGTTGCGATACGGGGCAGGGTGCTGCGGGGCCGTGTCAGAGCTATATGCGCTGACCCTCATGTATGGGCATGCGATTGGTCCTGTGGCGCCAACAAAGTGTGTTATGTGTTGTGACATGGACGAGTTGTGATTACGAGTGTCTTGGGGGATGTGACTATGGGGTTTATGTTGGGGATTGTTCATGTTGGGTTATGATCATTGTTTATGCTTTGCCTTATCTGCCTTATCTGTTGTGAACTGCATATTATAACTGTGCTTGTGTCTGGCCTCATCTGTCGAGTCATTCCCGGTTTTTAAAGCTAGAGTTCGTAGGATATATCTTCATGCTCAAAATGGTTTTCGTATATCTATATATATCTCTATATGTATTGTATTTCAACGCGTTGGAGTGGGTTACCAGCATCTCTCGCTGAACAGATATATTTGGCTTTCTGGAACAGAAGATTAAGTCACTGGAGTGCGCTAGAACTTAGAAGTAGATAGTTTCCCTTTTGGCCTGCGTGCCACGTTTACGTATTTACGCTTTGAGGATATTAGTTAGTTAGCCTGTGCACTTGGGTTCTCTAGCCCAGGTGTGGCATAGCACCCCGAACACTTGTATTTATAGCTTGGGATTTAATATGATTCTACCTTTATTATAAGTTTTAAATGTCTTGAAAATCTGGGGTGTTACACTTTCCTTCAACTGTATGGAAAGCTGAATATCCTTGGCACGAGGATAGTCATCAGACACAGCATCAGGTTCAGAATTGGATGGGGCAGACACAGGAACAACATCCCGAATGTGATCACCAGTCAGCAGGCATTTATCAACAGTATAGAGCAGTGTTGGGCTGATCACCTCACTGGGCATAGGTTCAAGACCCTGAGTGGTAAAAATGCCAAAAATCAGATTTGGGAAGGGTAGTCTTACCTTCTGTTCCCGTGGATGAATTAAGGTAAGAATGTGATAGTAAATCCATTTTCCCAGATCAATTGGCATCTTCTTTCCAATGCGAAATAAGAAGCCTGCCAGTAACTTGCCAACTGTGTGGAAATGGGCTGATGGGAGCCAATTGTGAAGGGCCAGCCGATGTAGAATCACATATCTGGATGTGAGATGCGAGCTCTGCAGATAGTCCTTATCTCTTGTAGGCCAAGATTTTGTCTGTCCACCAGTAAGAGTTCTGGCCACCAAGTTCCAGTCAGTGACAGGGTCTTCTTGCACATCAGTCAAACCATAGTATTCATTGATCATGTCCGGCCCAAAAACGTACCACCTTCCTCTAATGAAAATCTGCATCGGTCGTGGCCTAAATAGGACGTCAATCTCGTCATTGAGATTACAATAGAATTCATACGTGAGAAGCTTAGAGTATGGGCAGATGTTCGTGACAGTCTTCAACAAACCGACAAAGGTAAAATGTCACATACAGAATTCATCTGGTTCTAATCCACAGATCGTTGAACAATAAGATCCCTTCTAACCATGGTAGACCATTTGGTCTGAGCAGCAGGAGAAACAAACTGAGGCCTGTAAACAGATGGATCAGTTTCTTCGACAGGTTGAACCTCAGGAGTAATGCTCCGTCCTCTTGATCGTGTGGATGGCTTCCCTTTTTTGACAAATGGTGCAGGCATAGAAGTAACTTGAACAGCAAGCCCCTTTTGCTTAACAGACGATCGCAGAGTCTTGAACACTTGTTGAATAGGCGGATTTTCTTCCGGCTTAACACCCTCACTCGACTTCCTTTTCTTCTCAGGCTGATCCACATTAGCACTGTCATCACCAGTCTCAACAACAACCTTTACTGGAACGTTCTTCCTTTTAGACCTTCTTGTTTCTTTGGATGGGGATTGAACAGGAGTCACAGAATGACTGGAATCAGAAACATTGGCAGATGAGCTCCCAATAATATTCGAAATTTCTCGAATTTTGAAGGTCGTGGAGTCAGGATGAGCAGTGGCCTCAACAGTTGGAATAACAGATGGAAGTGTTTGAGATCCATACACTTCAGCCAGTATTTTATCATCTTCGCTGGAAGATTCGGAAGGGTGAATCACTTGATACGGTTGAGGGATTGAAGCAGATGGTAGATCAGCAAAATGTCGCACATGTTCCAAACTTTCGCCCAATGATGTGGCAGTGTAGACTAGGATACCACTGGTTTTCTCAGACTTGTGGGGGCTTGATAGATCAACAGGTTCAACATTAACAGGTAAGATAGGAGTGTCAACGACAGAACAAACTTCTTTAGGGTCATCAGCAATTTCAGCCGGAGGCAGAGCAATATTATCAGAAGCATAAACAACTAAACTCAGTTTATTTGGCTCATCAGAGGACTCTTCTTTATCATCAGACACAGGCAAGACATCAGTTTTCACACCAACAGACTCACTCACAGGCAGAGATGTAGAATCAACATTCACAGGGGCATTCTCGGAATCCAAAGCAGTTAAATTTTCAGAAATAACAGGCACACAAGATGGGGTAGCAGAAACATCAGGTTTATCTGGTGAAATTTCAATAGGAGTTTCAGAATTGTTTGACCTGTTTCGGAGGATCTCCTGTCTGTGTTTTACCTCTTTCTAACCAGCTTCGAGATACAGAGGGTGCGCCTCCGCTTGCCGTCGAGAGACCTCAACCAATTCTAGGGCACGATGTGCAAAGTATTGAAGGAATGCCCCGGCCCGATTTCCATCCAAGGGTTCTGGAATATATACTGGAGAAACTTCATCCCTGGTTTCAGAAACCATCATAAGCAGTTCAGTCGCATCATCTTCAGACCATTTTGCATAAAACTCTGGGTAATAGGTCATCACAGTTACTAAAATCTCGTCGCGAAGCAGAGGATCAAGTTTGAGCTTCTTCTTCATAGCAAACTGCAATAACGTCTGAATGTGCTTAAGGGCCACCTCTGGAGAATGTGTCTTGCTTCCAAGCTTGATGATGATATTTCTTACCGGGTCCGCCATTGGAGAAATTTTTGTGAGAGGAGAGAAATACAATACTGAGAGCAGGTATGCTGAGAGAGAAAGGGTTTGAGTGCTGAGATGCGTGAAGGCCTGTTCTCTTCTTGGCCCGGTATCAAATAGACTAAAGGGTGAAGAACCCTAATCAATGCGGCTTGTCAAATATCATGCAGATGCGATTGATTGACACAATGGTATAGCTTCTTTTTAGGAAGGAAACGGAACCCAAGGACATTTGAATTTTGAAAAAGATTAAAATCTTTTTGAGATATCATTAAGGCCAAAATAACACCACTTAACAAAAATAGAGAGGAGTCTTCAAAAAGTCAAATCGTAATACTGACCCGTGTACACCACTCCTTTCTGATTGACCAACTGCTTTATTTAATCAATTCTGCAAATTCCCAGAGCAAACCTGAGAATTTCAAAACGATTAGCGTCCAACGGCTTAGTTAGAATATCCGCCAGTTGTTTGTCAGTTTGAATGTATTCCAATTCAATTTCCTTGGATTCAACCAAGACTCTGATGTAATGATGCCTGATGTCAATATGCTTTGTTCTGGAATGTTGAACTAGATTCTTGGAGATATTAATAGCATTGACATTGTCACAATAGAGTGTCATTATCCCTTGAGTGAGACCATAATCTAGGAACATCTGTTTCATCCAAACCAACTGAGTACAACATCCTCCTGCAGCTATGTATTCTGGCTCTGCAGTGCTTAGTGAAATTGAATTTTGTTTCTTGCTCCGCCATGATACTAAGTTTTTACCAACAAAGAAACATCCTCCGGAAGTACTCTTTCGGTCATCAATATGTCCTGCCCAATCAGCATCACAGTAGGCAACCAGACTTAGTACACTATCCTTGGAGTACCAGAGACCATACTGCATCGTTCCTTTAACATATTTCAAAATGCATTTTGCAGCTATCAAGTGTGATTCCTTTGGGTCAGATTGATACCTTGCACAGATTCCAACACTGAACATTATGTCTGGTCGACTGGCTGTTAGATACAACAAACTCCCTATCAAGTTGCGATAAACTGTGTTATCCACTGATACACCAGTTTCATCTTTCGATACTTTTGTGGAGGTGGAGATTGGTGTCCTAGATGATTTACATGATTCCAAATCAAACTTTTTAACTAGATTCTTAGCATACTTCTCTTGTGAAATAAAGTATCCCTCAGGACTTTGCTTGACCTGTAGACCTAGGAAGTATGTCAGTTGACCAACCATGGATATTTCAAACTCTTCCTTCATCACCTTTACTAACTCGTCAGTGTATTTCTGTAAGGTTGATCCAAACACGATGTCATCAACATAGATTTGGGCTATGGTTACATGACTACCAGTAGTTTTTACAAACAGGGTTTTGTCAACACTTCCCCGTTTATACCCATGTTGAAGCAGATACTGTGTCAGTCGTTCATACCATGCCCGTGGGGCTTGCTTTGAGACCATAGAGAGCTTTTCGAAGCTTATAGACATATGAAGGATGATCTGGATCTTCGAAACCTTTAGGTTGGGCCACATAGATATCTTCATGGAGATAGCCATTCAGGAATGCTGTTTTGACATCCATCTGAAACAATGTGAATCCCAAAATGCATGCGACAGCCAACAAAATCCTGATTGACTTGAGTCTAGCTACAGGAGCAAAAGTCTCATCATAGTCAATTCCTTCAATCTGAGTATACCCTTGAGCCACTAACCGAGCTTTGTTCCTTGCTATATTCCCTGCTTCATCAGTTTTATTTTTAAAGATCCACTTGGTTCCAATTACGTTAACACCATCGGGTCTTGAAACTAGATCCCACACATGATTCATCTCAAACTGATGTAGCTCCTCCTGCATTGCCTTGATCCATTGATCATCCTGTAAGGCTTCTTTAACATTTCTGGGTTCTATCTTTGAGGTATAACATGCAGACCCAGATACATCTGTCAAATTATTTCTTATTCTGCTCCTGGTCTTCATCCCATCTGATGGATCTCCAATAATGTTATCTGATGGATGGTTTTTCTGAGTTCTGGTGGGTTTGTCTTTACCTGTATCATTTATGAGGTTTGTCTTTTGATCCGAACTTTCTTGATCTTCATCTGACGATTCTTGTGGTTTGGGCTGACTGTTGCTATTAGTGGCAATTGTATCACTGAGATGAAGTTCTGTCACTGAATCTGTCACTGTTGTGTCTACTGACTCTTCTGGACTGTCATCTATAACCACATTTATTGACTCCATCACAGATTGAGTCCTCTTGTTGTAGACTCTGTAGGCACGACTGTTTGGAGATTATCCAAGGAAGATGCTCATCACTCTTTGGTTCGAACTTCCCTCTTTGTTCTCTATCAGCTAGCACATAAAACTTTGTCCCAAACACATGAAAGTACTGCAGATTTGGCTTCTTGCCCTTCCAGATCTCATATGGAGTTTTGGTTGTTCCTGGTCTAAGATAGACCCTATTTATGGTGTGACAGGCTGTGTGTACTGCTTCGGCCCAGAAGCGCTGCGGCAGATGCGAGGCATGTAGCATAACTCTAGCCATTTCTTGTAAAGTTCGATTCTTTCTTTCCATTACTCCATTCTGTTGAGCAGTTCTAGGGGCTGAGAACTCATGTGATATACCGTGCTCAGAGCAGAAGTCTGAATATAGTGAGTTCTCAAATTCCTTTCCATGATCGCTCCTCAATCTCTAAACTTTTATTATAGACTCATTCTTTTCCTTCTGAACTCTTATACACAGAGTTTTAAAAGCCTTGAAAGCTTCTGTCTTTTCTCTCAGAAAGTATACCGAGTTGTATCGAGAGAAATCATCTACACACACAAATATGTATTTCTTTCCCCCAATGCTTTCAATTTGTGTTGACCCCATGAGGTCTATGTGGACAAGATCTAGGCACTTCTCAGTGGTGATGCCTCTTACTGCTTTGTGTAGAGTTCTGATTTGTTTCCCAATAGCACATGCACCACAGATTTTTTCCGGATCTATTCTGATTTTAGGTACACCCTTCACTGCTTCCAGTTTTATCAACTTATCCATATCTCTGAAGTTTACGTGACCCAGTCGTCTATGCCAGAGTTTTGATTCATCAGATTTGGATAAGTGACAAGTAGTTCCATTTGCCAAGACGTAACAATTGTCTGAGGACCGAGTTCCTTCCATGACTAGTTGATTTGCTTTGTCACTAACTCTGCAGCAGTTACGATCGGAGCACACATTCCAATTTTGATCACACAACTGACTGATGCTAATAAGATTCGCTTTCAACCCACTGACAAGCAGGACTTCTTCTAATTGAGGTAAACCTGGTACATTTAGGACACCTTTCCCAACTATTTTCCCTTTTTGTCCATCTCCATATGTTACAGCTCCACTGCTAGGTTGAACAGCCATTAGACACTTAACATTTCCTGTCATATGTCTGGAACACCCACTGTCAAAATACCATCTAGCGTCAGTTGTAGATGCGGTCAGAACAATGGTGGGGTAGCAGATAACTTCTGACTTCCTGACCCAAACCTGTCGAGTGAATGGTGTAATGGTCTTATTCTGATATTTTTCCTTCCTTTGATCTCGGTAGAAAAAATAGCACTCAGGCCGAGTATGACCTTTCGTTTTACAGTAATGACAAACAGGGGTGTAATATTTAACTTTGACAATCTTATTTTTGAACCTTGAATAATGATATTGATGAGTTAATCTGCCCAGGCCAGTATTAGTAGTCTGATCGTACCTCTTTCCCTTGTTCTGCACTGACTGAGATGACTATCCTTGTTCATAGTTGTGATCATAGACATACCCTCTTTGATGAACTTAGGTGCGTTATTCGAAGATTCACATCGTTCAAATCCCAGACCCTTTTTGTCATTAGGGTTTCTGCCAGAGTCTAGAATCTTATCTAGGGTAGATGTGGTGTCCATCATTTGGATATTTTTCTTCAGACTCTCCAATTCCTTGATCAGTTTTCCTTCTCTGGACCTTATCTGAGTGATGAGATCTTCTTTTATGACTAGATCTGTATTCAGTTTCTTTAGAAGATCATCTCTTTGCTTCAGCTCTTCATTCAGATTCTTATTCACTTTCAAAAGTTGTTCCCAGCTAGTAACAAGTTTTGCAAATTCTGTTTCAAGATGAGTATGTCTCTCTTCAAAATCATCAGTTGATATGTATGATTTTTCCTCTGATTGATCTCCGTCTAACTGAAGGTTTGTAGCAGTAAAGAAGGCTACAAAGTTTCCCACATTATCATCTGACTGATCATTTGAAGTTTCCTCCTCATCATCGCTTAAAGTAGCTACCGACATAGCCTTTTTCCTTTTGAGATACGTTGCACATTCAGCCTGTATGTGTCCATATCCTTCACATTCCCTACACTGTACTGACCGGTTGAGGGATTTAACTGTGTCTGTGGAACTATTTCTGTTTTGTCTGGTTCGACCAGTCTGAGATTGATTGTTCTGTGAGAAAGGTGATGTTTCAGCCTTTTGATATGAGGAGTTGTTGCCTTTGTATTGTGTCCTGGTAGACTGACCTTGTCCCTTTCTGTTGAAACCTTTTAAGATTTTCTTGAAATTTTTGGTTAGAAGAGCCAAGGTTTCATCATCTATGTCGTCTGTGTCAGATTCTCGATCAGCCTCAGCCACAAAGGCCACTGACTTTCATTTTCTGTTACTTCCAAGATCATCATCAGCAAGAACTTCTAGTTCATATGTGTGTAAGCTTCCCATAAGTTCTCCGACAGTCTTCTTTTCCCAACCTGTGTGTTCCTGAATAGCAGTTACTTTCATTCGAAAGCGTTTAGGTAAAGATCGAAGGATCTTTTTTACCACTCTTTCATCAGTGAAGGGTTCTCCAAGGATTGAGGCTCGGTTCATAAGATTCTGAACTCTACTGTGGAAGGTCGAAATGGTTTCTTCTTCAGTCATTCTGAGTGCCTCGAATTCTGACAAAACCATTTGTAGCTTTGACTGTTTGACATCACTAGTTCCTTCAAAT